TTTGTGTGGCCAAGATGGGTTCAAGGAGATCTGAGCTGTGAAATCCAAATCAGATCTGGGATGAGATCTCAGGAAGAACTTCTTTGGTGTGAGGGTGGTGAGAGCCTGGCCCAGGTTGCCCAGAGAAGCTGTGACTGCCCCATCCCTGGAGGGGTTCAAGGCCAGGTTGGAGGGGGCTTGGAGCAACCAGGTCTGGTGGGAGGTGTCCCTGTCCATGGCAGGGGGATGGGACTGGATGATCTTTAAGGTTCCTTCCAACCCAAACCATTCTATTTTTTGGGAGCCCATTTGTTTGGTTTTCTTTATCATGTGCTATGCCAGTAGAAAACGTTTGCTATTAAAAACCAAGGACAAGACACCAAAGGTGACAGAAGTAAGCTCTGTTGGTGTGTTACGGATCTGTCTTGAATGGGGCCAGCAGAGAAAGACTGGTAGAGGCCTTGGAAGGACCATAGTTCAGAGCAGCTCCTGGAAGGCACTGGAGACTTTTAGAGCGAGTAAATATCTTATAGCAGCTATTTCTTCTAGAAAATTGTATGGATGACTGGGGTACTTGTAGACCGTTCCCATTACACAGGTGACGAGGGATGGCCTGGAGCAGGAATTCTGTTGTTGGGTTGTGTTACCCTTCAGTTCAAACTTGGGGAAAAAATTAGATTAAAGTGAACTGTGTGGACGCGTGAGTGGGAGGACTTGGTGTCTGGGCATCCTCCCGAGGCTCCACAGACTGGCACTGGCAAGAAGGGCTCGTTCTAGATGGTGATGAAAAGCACTGAGAAAAGAACAGAAAGAAACATTTGCTTTTCTTTCAAGCTTCTTTTGCACACCGCAAGCAAGTGGAAATGAAGAGTAGTCCTAAAATTTTGTATTTTTTAATTTGTTTTTTTTTTGCTGATCAGGGTTGATGTTGACAGCATCGTGCTTTTTTGGCTCACTGACATATTTATCCATGTCCTGTCCGTCCTTCACAGGATCCTTTTCATAAGGATATTCTCCTTTGTGGCTGTATTATTTATAATTTGTATTTTAGGAGCAGCCTCAGCTCGACATCTTGGTCTGCCATAAACGTGGCCCTCGCATCCAAGACCTTCAGCCTGTATTTTGTACCTACTAAGCATCCCTTACAAAGTAGTGATTAATTAGTCCCGACAGTGCCCCAGACAGACAATTTGTAGTGTCTCCTTAATAGCAACGAGAGAGAGGGAGAGGAGTAGCAGAGCCAGGGAAGAGAACTACAGCTTCTGCTTGTTTCTGTTAAGCCTCACTGTCAGTCAACAGGAATACCCAGGATAGTTAATCCTTTTTTTTTCTTTTTTTTTTTTTTTTTTGGTTTGAAATTAGGTTGACACAGTTACAGGTGGGGCTGAAAAGTGTCGGTCCCTGCAGCGAGGAGCTCGCTGTCAGCGCCGCAGCTCCCTCAGCGAGATGCACTGAGATGATTCCTCTCCTCCTTTGCTTGCAGGGAGTTAGACTCTGCCATGCTGCGGCGGTTGGAGAAGAGGATTTTGGTGGACCTCCCCAGTAAAGAGGCCCGGAGGGCCATGATCCAGCACTGGCTGCCCCCTCTGAGCAACAGCAGAGGAGTGGAGCTGAGAACAGATCTGGACTACGGCTTGCTGGGCCAGGTGAGACAGCAGAGTGAGGGGATGATGCCTGCTTGGTGCTTTAGGTCTTCCTGAGTGGGAATGGTCAGCAAGAGTGACAGTTCAAGGCCAGGGAACTGCTGGAGAGAGTCCAGCGGAGGCTACAGAGATGATCAAGGGATGGAGCATCTCTCTGCTGAGGAAAGGCTGAGGGACCTGGGGCTGTTCAGCCTGGAGAAGAGAAGACTGAGAGGGGACCTCATCAATGCTGAGCAATATCTAAAGGGTGGGTGGCAAGAGGATGGGGCCAGACTCTTCTCAGTGGTGCCCGGTGACAGGACAAGAGGCAATGGGCACAAACTGCAACGCAGGAAATTCCATCTGAACGTGAGGAAACACACTTTTCCTTTGAGGGTGGCAGAGCCCTGGCAGAGGCTGCCCAGAGAGTGGTGGAGTCTCCTTCTCTGGAGACATTCAAACCCCTCCTGGATATATTCCTGTGCAACCTGCTCTGGGTGGACCTGCTGTGGCAGGGGGTTGGACTAGATGATCTCCAGAGGTCCCTTCCAACCTCTACCATTCCATGATTCCATGATGTATCACCCACAGCGGTAGCATTATGTCATGATTCCGTGATGTATCACCCACAGCGGTAGCATTATGTCATGGCAGAAGAGGTCCAGACAGTTGGGACATCACCTCTGTGTGAAACCATGATGAGATACAGAGCTGGAGGTAGGACCTCAGCTCGGTTTGAGTCTCCAGCCAAGGGCAAACCAGCGAGACACGGGGCTGAGCGTTCCACCCGGCTGTGGAAAGTGCTGGTTTCACACAGCTCTGCTAGCAAACTGGTGTGTTCTCATCCTCTCTGCTGGGCCAGCTTTGCAGCCTTAAATACAGGGAGACTTCCAGCAACAGGATATTTTATCGTTCTTCTCACCAAGCTGGGAGCGCTTCCAATTCATCGGGGTAATGAGCAGTTAATTGTGTGGGGAAGGTTTGTCACAGCTCCACTGCTGCGGGAGAAAAGAGCATTTAGACAGCAAAGAGATTCACTGGAAAACCAGGCTTTCTTCATTCAGCCCTTTGTCACACCCTGAATTCTTGGAAAAATAGCTTAAAAATAATTATTTCTAAATCTCTTGTATTCATAAAGGGCCCTTTTTACATGTGTTCACATAGAGGATGGTACTCAGTTTTTGTTTCGTAAATGTTAATAAGGGAATATAGTTATTTATTAACAGGAAAGCTGGGAAGAGACACAGAAAAGTGGGGTTTACTTCATCTATGGGAAATTGCCCTTTAGAAAGAAAATGCCCAGTATTTTCCTTGCTCTTACTGTGGGAAATCAAAACAAGAACAAGCATCATAATGGGTAAACATAAAAATATTATGTGTGTTTGTGTGTATATATGTATTTTAGATAGGAATAGTCTTTATACATATTTTATATAAATCTATATGCTTGTAAACACCATTCCTGTGCAATTTGTAAGCCTGTGAGCTGTAATGTACCCTTCTGATCCCAGGAAACAGAGGGTTACTCTGGCTCAGACATAAAACTCGTGTGCAAGGAAGCAGCCATGAGGCCAGTGAGGAAAATTTTCGACGCTCTTGAAAATCACCAGCCAGGTAACTAACCCCAGCTCCCAGGGGAGAATTCCATCTGGGAAACGCCGATCTCCTGCTCCAACTCTGGGAATTACAGTTTTAGCCCCAGCAGGTGGAGCTCTGTTATCTGCTTAGAAAAGTTTTAAACTGTGTCCTTCTAAAACACACACCTAAACTAACGTTTTAGAAAATCAGGGCTCTTTTTAAAGCTGTATCTGTGCTCTCTGCACAAATATAAATTTTTCTTATCTCCCTAGGCTTACTGTTTTCGTGTATTAAGTGTTGCATTAAGCAGGGACATAGAAGAATGTCTTTTGATAATAATAACAGCATTTAATATTTTTTTTTCTCTTTAGGTAACAGTAACTTCCCCGTGATCCGATTAGAGACGATCACCACAGCAGATTTCCTCGATGTGATTGCCCACACCAAGCCATCAGCAAAGAACATAAGCCAGAAATACACAGCTTGGCAGAGAGAATTTGAGTCAGTTTAAAGAGAAAAAAACCTGAAAGACTGAAAACTTCCAAGCCTTTTGCCTCCAAAGGATCCAGTGGTGAAGGGGAAGAAAGTGCTGCCATTTCCAGGGAAGAGAACGCAGTGGCAAATGCCAGGGGGAAGTCTTCACTTTCAGGATTTAATTGCAGGGGTGTTTGGTTATGGGTGTTTAATTGGAGGGGTGTTTGGGAATGTTCAAAAAACATTCTTCATGGAAATAACATGATGGCAGTTGCTGTGTAATGAAGGCTCCAGCCTTAATTTTATGGATAAAGACTTAAAAGATAGATTGCTTCTCAGTCTTTATTCAAGTCAGTTCTTACCAGGTTTGGGGTAGAAGAACTGGAGCAGAAAGCTTGTTAAGAACAGTTAGATAATTAGTGTAATTCTCCCTTTCTGAGACTCACCAGAGCATCAGAACCAGCAGAGACCTGCACCCTTTATAATGAAATGCGACCACTTTCAGTGAAATTTGGGACCATAGCAATACGTTGTAGATTTGTTTAGTTTGTCATCATTTTTAGCTAAAAACAAAGCCTTCATGGGCCAAATGCCTTATTTTCCAGTTGGTTTGGCCTATTCCCAAGGCAAGGAATTAGAGGAACTTGGAGACGTAGAAAACCAGCGGATTTAGGCCAATCTAACTCAAAACTGGCTTGGTTACCCGCTGTTCACAAACAGCGAGTCTTTGCAGCTCAGAGGTAAATGCTAGCCAAGCTGGAGACTCTTCTGCTTACACAGAGTCAGGGACTGCCACATCATCTTTTAATTAGAAACTCTAATCAGTCATTTTTTCAGACTGTCGGGTCTCATTGCTTGCCCCTCTCTCGCTTAGCAAGACAGTTACCCTCTTTGTGGTTCTCCCAGTATTTTCCTCACATGGGTTTGTGAGATAGGTACCACGATTTTCCATGACTTCCAGCTCCGGGACAGTCTCTGTTATTCATTCCAGCATCACTCAGTTGTCACAAGTCATCTTGGGAAATGTCTCCATGGGGTTTTTCTTGTAGATCTCTCTCCTCCTGAACCTGACCAAAAACCTCCCTGATGGCACCACCACTTAAGCAGTGCTGGCATCGACATAAGATGTGTGAATTTATTCCAAACCGAGGGCACAAAAACGGTATCTAGAGGCATTTTTTGTTCCTGGGAGGGTTATAATTTCTTGTATTTCTAGTGCAAAGTCTGCTCCATCCACACGTTGTGTCTCGGACAGAGATTAAATCTGAGCCCGCAGACAATCTTTCATCTAAGGAGAGCTTCCCTTTCATTCATCACCATGATTTTTCTTAACAAGAACAAGCAACGGCTCATTAACACAAAACTATATTTTCAATAAGGTTAATACTCCAGCAATGTATAATTACAATCTAATAATTTAACACTCAGGAGCACTGTAAAACAAACTGTAAAGGACTTTGATTATTACAGTTTGCAAATGGACCAGAAAAGCTATTTACTGTCATTACGAAGTTGGTTCGTGTTGGGGGATTTAGCGCGTAGGAAAAGCTCTGCCTACTACAGAATTAAATTTCATTTTACGGCTCTACTAACCAACTGTGGAAAAACTGGAATCTGTCCCCATGGCTCGTGAAGGATTTTTTTCCCATAACATTAAAAAGAAACAAAAAAACCCCACCAACAATAGTAAAATTTTGCAACTGTAGCATTAATAGGACCCCGCTGAAGTCTAATTTCAAAAATTCACAGTCTCTGAGGCATTTAATACCAGATTTTTTTGTTTCTGTACCATTCTTTTTAATAACAGCATCTAATTAAAACATCTGTAAAGTGCTGACAGTTTTAATTTGATGTAAAATCTGAAAAACAAAAAAACCCCAGCATCTGTTCTAATGAGAGGAAAGATATCAAACAGTAGTTATTATTAAACAATGGTGATATTTTAATTTAAAAGTCACTTCTCAATGTGCATTCTCCCTACCTTTAAATTAGAGCAGAGCAGAGGCATGCTCAGTGAAATCACTACAGGCTGACTACGGCTCTGTTAGTCTTTGAGGTTTATATTTGAGTATTTCCAGTGTTTTGTTGTGGTTTTTTTTTTCCAATTTAGCTTATTCAGCAGTTTGTATCCCGTCTGTCTCACCTGCTGAGCATCCGCGGTCCCTCATCGCATCCTCCTGAATCTACTACAGGAAAGGGGCTTCCCAGCTCTGCTGAGTGGGAGGAGCTCACAGCTGGGCTGCTGATGCATGCATTGATCCTGCAACCTTAATTTTTGAAGCCAAAGTAAAGGAAATTATGTGGCACGGACGTTCCTTCAAACTAACTATTCCCTTCCTCACAGCAGATGCTCTAGGATATGTTCCACCGCCGCTGGGAAATTCTCACAGGTTAAGTAAGGAGCAGGATTGATTTTGTCTTCATCTGCTGGTCGATATTTACCTGGAACAGATTAACAAAAAGATGCATTTACCAAGCTGCTTTGGGTATCTTTTTTTCCCCCCTGAAAATCACAGCCTCCTTGGATCAGTAACAACCAGCCACGGTAGGAGGAATGCCCATCTAAGGTTCTTCTGCAACAAACATCTCACCATCTTCCCTAAAGAAACACTGAGCCTGACTGAATCATGGAATGGTCAGAGTTGGAAGGAACCTCTGGAGATCATCTAGTCCAACCCCCTGCGAGAGCAGGGCCACCAGGAGCAGATTGGAGAGGAGCGTGTCCATTTTGAATGTCTACAGAGACTCCACACCCTCTCTGGGCAGCCTCTTCCAGGGCTCTGCCAACCTCACAGGAAAGAAGTTCCTCCTCATGTTGAGATGGAATTTCCCATGTTCCAGTTTGTGCCCGTTGTCCCTTGTCCTGTCACCGGGCACCACTGAGAAGAGTCTGGCCCCATCCTCTTGCCACCCACCCTTTAGATACTGGTCAGCATTGATGAGGTCCCCTCTTAGTCTTGTCTCCAGGCTGAACAGACCCAGGTCTCTCAGCCAAGAGATGCTCCAGTCCTTTGATCATCTTTGTAGTTTCCACTGTCCCCTCTCCAGCAGTTCCCTGTCCTTCTGGAACTGGGGAGCCCAGAACTGGTCCCAGTGCTCCAGCTGGGGCCTCCCCAGGGCAGAGCAGAGGGGCAGGATGACCTCCCTCCACCTGCTGGTCACACTCTTCCTGATGCCCCCCAGGATGCCCTTGGCCTTCTTGGCCACAAGGGCCCATTGCTGGCTCACGGGCCACTTGTCCATGACTGAAGATTCCTCCAGGGGCAGCTTTGGTTCAAAATTAGTGTAACTCATGCACTGGCACTATTCCCTCACTGACTATTCAGATATTCATGTTATAGGTTCTTGAAATATAATGTTATCACCTTCCCTTCTGGGTTTTATGAGTATGATCACTTGCTTTCACTTTCAACACGAGCAGGTGCCACTCAGAAAGACCTTCCCCACTCCACGGTACCATCCATAACCCATCCATAACATGGATAATACCTGTCACTCCCTTCGGGTTCCACTTTTGTCTGAAGGAAAATGACTTTTATGACCAGTGTAATCACTGCAGAATGTCACCAGAGCTCCTGAAGGATCCGTGGCTACGTTGCTAAGACTGATTTCAGTGATCTAAGATGTCACAGAAATGGGGTTCTCTCTGCTCCTTGACCAGTGCTCAGGATTTTAGAGTTGTTAGAGAAAAAAATTCACACCTACAATATCAGCTGTCTCCCAAAATGACTGCTCCACTGCATACTCACCAGTCCTGACCAAGATGCCACGCATGCCTGCGTTCTGGGCGCCACCAACGTCGTCCCTGCAGTCCTGGGACAGAAGAGGAGATGAGCTGGTTAGTGGTCACAGGCACTTATTTCTCAACATGTTTTTCATGAAAACACATTCTCTGCTTTGCATGTCACTAACCACCCACTCAAAAGCAGCTGCAAGGGGTCAAATCTTTTAGCTACCTGTTAGAGAAACCATCACAGGAAAGATTTACTACAGGCTTCTAGTGACTGCATGAAGAGAACCCACCCCACAGACTCCTCGTTAAATCCTGCAAGTTTTCACCCCTCGTTCAATCTGCAGGTGACAAGGTCCCCACGTACGTCACCGATCATGACGGCCTCCTCTGGGGCACAGTCTGTCCCCCGCAGAGCTTCCAGGAAGAAGGTCTTCTCCGGCTTCCCCACCACCGTCGCTTTGGCGTCCGTCGCGTACTCCAGCCCCGTTACAAAAGGTCCAGGTCCCAGAGCCAAGCCATCTTTTTTCTTGTAATACCTGGCTTTGTGTATAGCTATGAGAGGAGCACCATCCAAAATCAACCTAAAGGAAGTACAAAAAATTATATTAAAGAAATGATATTCACAGTTGGAGGCCCGAACTGGCTTTCATTTTAGGTTGATGACAATGACTTTCATGAAGATCCAAATTATAACGCAAGCCCACATTCATCTGAAGAGTTAAACAAAGTTCCTTCCTTTCTTTTCCCCAGGAACAGCTAATACATAAATCCCCCAAATAAAGAATTTCTTATCTTGAGGATTTTAACAGGATTTTTAAGTCCTGCTGTATCTCTGCAATAAGGTCGTTACTCTAAGCTGCCTCACTTTTCACCAAGGCAAACATCCCAACATTAGAACCCAGCTGATGTCACCACACAAATAATTTAAAATACGTTAACCCCAGGCAGGGGCTGTAGGTAGCAGGTTGAGGGGCAGAGCCTTTATCTCCTAGCTTGGACCAAGAACCCAGCAGGACCTTCAGGACTCTGCTGCCAGGAACTCCACAGCCCAGCAGCTCTTGGGGATGTTGGTATCACCTCTAACAGCAAACAGCTACGTGATCCCAGCAGGGATGGGTGTTCAGGATAGTCCCAGGTACAGGATAAATCATCTTACCTTAACTTCATATTTTAACGTCGGAGGAATGACAATAGCAAAGTTAAGAGCACAAAGATATTAGGTGTGTTCATGTCCCACCAAATTCCCCAGTTAACAGCACTATTACTGAGCCTTTTAGAAATTAAACTGGATTTAGAATCATAGAATGACTTGAGTTGGAAAGAACCTTAAAGATCATCCCGTTCCAACCCCCTGCCCTGGGCAGGGACACCTCCCACCAGACCAGGTTGCTCCAAGCCCCCTCCAACCTGGCCTTGAACCCCTCCAGGGATGGGGCAGCCACAGCTTCTCTGGCCAACCTGGGCCACGGTCTCACCACCCTCACACCAAAGAAGTTCTTCCCCAGATCTCATCTCCATCTCCCCTCTTTCAGTGTCAAACCCTTCCCCCTCATCCTATGGCTCCCCTCCCTGATCCAGAGTCCCTCCCCATCTCTCCTGGAGCCCCTTGAGGGACTGGAAGGGGCTCTAAGGTCTCCCCAAAGCCTTCTCTTCTCCAGGCTGAACCCCCCCAACTCTCTCAGCCTGTCCTCACAGCAGAGGAGCTCCAGCCCTCCCAGCATCTTCATGGCCCTCTGCTGGACTCATTCCAACAGGTCCCTGTCCTTCTGCTGTTGGTGGCCCCAGAGCTGGAGGCAGCCCTGCAGGGGGGTCTCCCCAGAGCAGAGCAGAGGGGCAGAATCCCCCCCTGGCCCTGCTGGCCACGCTGCTGGGGATGCAGCCCAGGGTGTGGGGGGCTTTCTGGGCTGCCAGCGCATGTTGCCAGCTCCTGTTGAGCTTCTTATCCACCAACACCCCCAAGTCCTTCTCCTCAGGGCTGCTCTCCAGCTTTCTCTACCCAGCCTGGATTTGTGGTTGTGGTTGCCCTGACCCTGGTGCAGGACCTTGCAATTGGCTTCATTGAACTTCCTAAGGTTCACACTGGGAACTGCTTCCCGCCCAACAGCCCAGATCCTCCAGCCTTCCTGGCACAGACCCTCCTTGGGGTTCCTCCTCTGACAGCTGTCCTTCCTGTTAAAAATCTGCACAGAACATGGCATTGCCTGGAGTGTCCCATCACCTGTTCCTTGGGAGAAGAGACCGACCCCCCCTGGCTACACCCTCCTTGCAGGGAGTTGGAGAGAGCGAGAAGGTCTCCCCTCAGCCTCCTTTTCTCCAGGCTGAACACCCCCAGCTCCCTCAGCCTCTCCTCACCAGACTTGTGCTCCAGACCCCTCACCAGCTCTGTTGCCCTTCTCTGGACACCCTCCAGCACCTCAATGTCTTTCCTGTCATGAGGGGCCCCAAAACCACACAAAATCTTGCTTTGCCCCTTCACCGCCTTTCTGGAGCTCTACTCAAAGAGGCTGCTTTAGGTGAGCTGTGTTCTCCTTGGAGGACGTCTGCTCCTTCCCACCTGCTGGGAACTCTGAGCACTACACAAATGATAATATTTCATTGCACTTAATTATCACAAATCAGTGCTTTCCAAAGCTGGCTGAAGAAGAAGAGAGCTGGCAAGAGCATCTGTGAGCAGCCAGACGTGTTCGCGATGGGAGGATTCCTCTAGGACACAGGAAAATTTAATTTGACAGCAGCACCACAACCCCTTGCATTCAGCAGTTCGTGGGAAAGATCTCACCTGAGAGAATTCTTTCAAGCGTGGCATCAAAATCCCACGTCTACAGAAAGAGAAATTTAGTCTCAGTCATTTTAAATGACGCCTGGAGAACAGCACTACTCTGTGTATCTCATCGTGGGACTTGTGTTGGGTTAGATTTACCTAATCTAATGTTTGATATCAACTGGGTGGTTGCCTACCGGGTAATTAGTCAGACTGGGCTCTTCACAGTCAGTGGAGAGGAAAAAAACACTTCTAGGGCACAGTTCAACTGTCCTATTTTAAGCTCTACTAGGGGAAAAACGAATGATGCCTTGCAAGTGCCTCCTCCCTCCCTCAGGAGCCCGGGTCAGCAGCTCAGACGCTGGCATCGGCACAGCAGATACCTGAGTTTCATCGGATTCACCTGAAAGTTCTGCTGTGAGCAACGCAAATCCCAAGTTTTTCAACTACCTGAGCAGTAAAGAACAAGGAATAAAGGACACAGCACAAAGCTCGAGGAGAAGAAAATGGTGGCAGTGGTTAATATTTCCATTAGACCAAACAAAACTGACACCAGCAGAACAGTCTCCCCTCAGTAGAAGACTGGGGGGAAAATGCAGCAGGAAAAACCCACTGCCCGCTGCAGGGGGCTGCATTTGGCCTTCAGCACCTTCCTTCCATCGCCAGAGCAACTGTTCCGTTCTGCTTTTAATGCAAAAAAGCCCAAATCCAGCCTGGGACAACCTCGGCCAGCTCTGCAGGCTTTCCTCCCTCTGCTGGGCTGGGGCCCTCAGGGACTCTGCCATGACTCTTGTTTCGAGTGCCCCCGTCCCCAGCCCCAGGCAGCTAATGACTGTTACTCGACAGCTAATACATTCATGACAGAAATATCAATAAAATGATGTAAGCACTGGAATTTGTGATTGAGAAATGAAGAGTCCACTCACGAGCGTGCTGTAAAACTCTAAAATCGATGCCACCAGCAACATGCACTAGGGAGGCAGAGGGGGCGTCCGTTTGGGTCAGTACAGGTTCTTATGGCACAGAACTGGCAGGCAAGGTAAGAACAGCACCCGTTTCCTACTCCAAGGAGCCTCCACAAGACCCTGGTGAGCAGTAATCCATACTCCCTCTTTGGATGTCGTCACAAAAGGCACATCACTGGGGATAAACCCAGCAACAGGCTCATGTTCACGTCTTTGAAGCTAAGGGCTTTTTTCAAGTTGAAACCAAGAGCGCTGTGAGGAGAAGGACACGTGGCCACGCACGTCTGCACACACTACTGCACCCGTATGGCTACAGGTACATTTCATCTTATTTACCCCTTCAACAATACACAAGACAAAGAGCTTCAGGAATCACAGAATCATAGAATTGTCCAGGTTGGAAAGGACCTTTCAGATCATCGAGTTCAACACTGACAAAACCACCACTAACCCATGTCCCTCAGCACCACGTCTGCCCGGCTTTTAAATACCTCCAAGGGTGGTGACTCCACCATTGCCCTGGGCAGGCTCTTCCAAGGCTTGATAACCCCTTCCATGTAAATATTGTTCCTAATATCCATCCTAAACCTCCCCTGGTGCAACTTGAGGCCATTTCCTCTTGTCCCATCGCCTGTTCCTTGGGAGAAGAGACCGACCCCCCCCTGGCTACACCCTCCTTTCAGGGAGTTGGAGAGAGTGAGAAGGTCTCCCCTCAGCCTCCTTTTCTCCAGGCTGAACACCCCCAGCTCCCTCAGCCTCTCCTCACCAGACTTGTGCTCCAGACCCCTCACCAGCTCCATCGACCTTCTCTGGGCACGCTCCAGCACCTCAATGTCTTTCCTGTCGTGAGTGGCCCAAACTGGACCCAGCCCTCGAGGTGGGGCCTCCCCAGTGCCCAGTCCAGGGGGATGGCCACTGCCCCAGTCCTGCTGGCTACACCGTTCCTGATAGAGTTCAGGATGCTGGTGGCTTCTTGGCCACCTGGGCACACTGCTGGGTCATGTTCAGCCTGCTCTCAACCAACACCCCCAGGTCCTTTTCCAATAGGCAGCTCCAGCCACTCTGCCCCCAGGCCTGGAGTGTCCATGGGGTTGCACAGACAAGACCAAGTCTGATCCATAGTTCAAGTAGCCCAGGACATTGTGCTGTCCACTCCTGAAGGCAAAATGCTCCAGTAGATATTGCTAGAAAACCTGCATTAGGTACGTAAGGAATAATCTGCCCTAAATACCGGATTTCCTTCTCTATAATATTTGGGGTCCAAAGGCTGAGGTTTGAACATAGAAGCCATCTCCCAAATACTTCCCAACATCCTTGGGTTTGTGTACCTCCTCTTGAAGCACTGCTGACTTTTTCACCTCAACAACAACCAGGACTGTACTTCTGTAGTTAATTTACAGACTGAAAGCCAGGAAAACCAAGGCTGGACTGGCTGAAGTTCATGGATAAGGCCCCATATTCACCAAGGTTGGTGTCTCTCTCTCAGATGTAACAGTGACAGTGCTGCCACCTGCTTTTCCCTGCAAGAGAAGAATTTCCTCGCCTGTGTAGAGGTGCAGAGCCCAGCACAAAGACAGCCACCACTCCAAAAGCCACGAGGAGAAAGCAAGCCACTTACCGAAACGCTCTGTTCATCATCTCATAGTGAAAGTGCTCAGGAGCCAGTCCTACCACCACTGCATTGGGATTGTCAGTGGCCACCCCTGGAAAACCAAAATATGACTCTGAGAGAACTGAATTTCACTCATACTTAGCAGTACCCACTCAGCGAGCACAATAAATCCCTTTGGAGAAAAAAAAAAAAAAAAAAAAAAAACATTTTT